CTCCCTGAAGACTTGAAGACCGGCATCATCAGCGCCCTCCGCGCCTACTCCATCGTTTTTGCATGGGGGCCGGAGGACATGCCGGGGATCAGCCGAAGGGTCATCACCCACCGCCTCTCGGTGGACCCTTCGGCCAAACCAGTACAGCAGCGGAGGAGACCCCTCTCGGCCGAGAGGAGGGAATTTGTGAAGAAGGAGGTCATCATGCTCCTCTCTATCAAGCACATCAAGGAGGTAAAGTACCCCTCATGGTTGGAAAACGTGGTCCTTGCACAAAAACTGCCCTCATTCCGCATGTGCGTGGACTACACGGATCTCAACAAAGCGTGTCCCATGGACCCCTTTCCTTTGCCAAATATTTATCAACTTGTGGATGAAACCGCGGGGTGTGAAATCATGTCATTCCTCGACGCATTCCGCGGATATCATCAAATATTTATGCATGAGGAAGACGCAGAAAAAACAGCCTTCATGACTCCCGAGGGCATCTTCTGTTACCTTGTCATGGCCTTCGGCCTAAAGAACTCAGGCGCCACCTACACTCGGATGGTGGCCAGGGTGTTCCAAGCTGTCTTAGGGCGTACCATGGAGGCATATGTTGACGACATGATCGTCAAAAGCAAGCAATCAGATGGCCATGCTGACGACCTGAGGGAGATCTTCGCCATCATGCAGAAATTCAACCTTCGGCTAAACCCGAAGAAGTGTACCTTCGGCGTTCAAGGGGGCGAATTCCTGGGCTACATAGTGATCCGAAGGGGTATCGAGGCCAACCCCGAGAAGATCCAGGCCATCATCAACATGGAGCCCCCACGCAACGTAAAGGAGGTCCAACGATTGACGGGCCGCCTGGCAGCCCTCAATCGCTTCTTATCAAAATCGGCGGAGAAGTCCTTACCCTTCTTCCAGATCATGAGAAAAACCGCCGGTTTCCAATGGACTTCAGAGTGTCAGGGGGCCTTCGAGGAACTGAAACGGTACTTATCTTCACCCCTGTGCTCTCTACACCCCAGGTGGGGGAGATCCTATACCTTTACTTGGGTGTTAGCCCGGCAGCCATCAGCTCAGTACTCATCCGGGAAGAGGATGGCATCCAGCATGCCATCTTCTATGTTAGCAAGACCCTCAGGGAAGCGGAGCTCCGGTACTCCCCTGTGGAAAAAACGGTGTTGGCTATCGTGTGGACCGTCAAGAAGTTGGGCCATTACTTCGAGGCTCACCCGGTCTAGGTCCTCACTCACCAACCCCTCAGCGCTTTGATGAGGAGCCCCACCAGCTCCTCCCGAATGGTAAAATGGGTTGTCTTCCTGAGCCAATACAACATCGACATCCGTCCTAGTCCCGCCATCAAGGGCCAAACCCTGACAGACTTCGTGACGGAATGTACGGCGAGATCAGCCACGGACGAGGAGCCCTCGGCCCCCTCGGATGATTGGTGGACCCTCTACACCGATGGCTCCTCCACCGTCAAAGCATGTGGAGGAGGGGTGGTTCTCATCTCACCGTCAAGGCTTCCGGGCCTATTACGTAGTCCACTTCTCCTTCCGAATTTCCTGAGCACATCTCAAAGATTGCCAAAGTAGAAGAGCTCAGCCTTTCTAGCATACATGCTAGCCCCATCATGCACATACAACAAAGGCAAGATGACTGGATCTCAGACATTGTCGCCTTCATCACCACAGGGCAACTGCCCGAGGATGAGGCCCGCGCCAAGCTAGCAAAGCTGAGGGCTCCCAGCTACGCTATCGAAGACGGAAGGCTTTACAAAAGGTCCTACAACGGGACATTACTTCGGTGCCTTCATCAAGATGAAGCCGAAGTGGCGATGGAGGAGGTGCACAGTGGCACTTGTTCAGCTCACCAGGGACCCTTCTCCATGTCCCGAAGGCTAATAATCCAGGGCTACTTCTGGCCTACGATGGCCCGGGATTGTGCAGATCTCGCCCGAAGGTGTTCCGCATGCCAACACTTCCAGAAAGCCACCGGCAGGCCAGCGGTCAACTATGCCCCCATCAACACATCCATACCCTTCGCTCGATGGGGCGTAGACCTTGTGGGCCCTCTGCCGAGGGGTACCTCCAACAACAGATACATCATCGTCGCCATCGATTACTTTACCAAATGGGTGGAAGCTGAGCCCCTTGCCAGCATTACTGAGGCCAGGTGCCGTCATTTTGTTCTCAAAAACATCCTCACAAGGTTTGGCGTCCCCCAACAAATCATCTCCGACAATGGGACTCAGTTTGAGGCAACCCCCTTCTGTGCCCTCCTGGAGGCATGGGGCATCAAACACACCTTCTCATCCGTTGCCTACCCCCAGGGCAACGGTCAAGTGGAGAACGCCAACAGGACTTTGCTCGAGGGCCTAAAGAAGAAACTGGAGGCCGAAGGGGGTGGTTGGGTAGAAGAGCTCCACAACATCTTATGGGCCTACCGTACCACCCCTCGGCGGGCAACTGGCGAGACACCCTTCTCCCTTTGCTACGGATTTGAAGCTAAGGCCCCCACTGAGGTAACTCTTCCAACCCGAAGGGTAACACAATATGATCCAGAGGCCAACGACACCAATATGGCCCTCGACCTTATTTCAGAACGCCGAGAGCAAGCCTTCATGCGCGCAGAAAACTACCGAAGGCAAGTAAAGAGTTACGTTGACGCCAAAGTCCGCTCCTGGGAATTCCAAGTGGGGGACTACGTCCTCCGAAGAAGGGAAGCTAGCCAACCAACCGAGGGCGGAAAGATGGCACCAAAGTTTGAAGGCCCCTACATCGTGGCGGCCATCATCAAACCAGGAACTTACAAACTGAAACGCCCTAATGGGACTGAAGTCCCTAGACACTGGAATGTACATCACTTAGTTAAATTTTATCAATAAAATCAGAGCGGCCAAGCCCTCATAACTAGTGAATGTATTATTTTACGGCCCAAGGCCTAAAAATTCTGAAGAATGAAGGCATTTTGAAGACACCAAGAACATGGAAAAGGATTCTTACGAGTGGCCAAGCCCTCATATCACCCCCTGGCCCAAGGCCTTATCACGAGCAAGGACCCTCGGCACCAAGTGCCGAGGGTAGATAATACTATCACCTACAACGAGGAAGAGAGTACCAACTTTCTTCAAAGGAGACCCCTCGGTACCAAGTACCGGGGGGATACACCATTGTCAACTTTCTACAAACGGAAGAAAACACCAAGTGTTTTCAAAGAAGACCCCTCGGTACCAAGTACCGAGGGTAGACACCCCAATCACCTACGACAAATGAAGAAAAAACACCAAGTGTTTTTGCAGAAGACCCCTCGGTACCAAGTGCCGGGGGCCGTACACCGGAACAAACACCAAGTGTTGTTTCTAAAGCCATACCCCTCGAGGACGCCTATACCGAAGGCGCCACCTCTCGGTGCCGACAGCACGTAGTGCCCCCGGCCATTTGCAACCAGTGTGCAAATGAAAACCCTTCCCTGAAACGCTTTCCGCGTCACTACCCCAAGGGTGTGGCAGACATGTAATATGCCTAAGATTCGACTTTCAAAAACGGAACGCTTTCCGTGCCATTTCCCCAAGGGATTGGCAAACATCTAATATGCCCAAGATTCGACTTCCAAATCGAAACGCTCCCCGCACCACTACCCCAAGGGTGTGGCAGGCCACGGACTATGTCTAGCACCGAGGGGGCGACTTTCAAAACTGAGGCGCTTTCCGTGCCATCCCCCAAGGGGAGGCAGGCTACAGACCACCATATCTTGTACCCAGGAAACGACCCTCGATCCCCTCGGAACTCGGAAGGTTAACCCGAGGGGGGAGCTAATGGTGTATTCTGTTACCTCCCGATAGGCCAAGCCTTACCAAGAAACCAAGTTTCTCGAAGCCTTCCCTTCACTACAAAAAAAAGGGTGGTGAAGGGGAGTAGACTCAGCGAGAAATCAATGAGTACATCACTCCAACAATTCACGGAAACATACCGAGGGCTTCCCACGGGAACACCTTCGGTACCTGGAAGCTCATAAGTACCAAAGATACCATTTCACAACAGACATCATCAACAAATGGCCAAGTCCACTCCATGATTGCCTCCGGCTATATCTAAACCGAAGGCTCAAATCCTACAAAACATGACAGGCTCACCAAACAACAACTCAAAACGTTCCCGTTGGCCAAATCAATGCAAGATTCACCTCCGGCACCTCACTAGATGCCGAGGGGACACACCCAGACAAGGTCCGAGAGATTCTGTCTTTTCGTGCTGGACTTGGATTACAAATTTCCCTAAGTCAAACTGTGGGGACATAACAACAACCGAAGGCTTTTTGTTGCCGCAGGCCAACATTGCAAGGCAAAGGAAACTATCCTAAACCTGCAACGTATACAGCCGAAGGGTCCCCGCCTGAAGGTTAGCAACAGGAAGTACTTAGAAAAATTTTCTAAGTCCTGAGTACTCTGCCCTCTGACGAGTCACCATTCAACCAAGGGTACACCTACAACAAATCTCTCACATTTCACCCGAGGGCTCCTACCTCGTACAACTACACTTAGAAAAATTTTCTAAGTCCTAAATATTTTTGACCCTCGGTCAAATCTCCATGCAGCCAGAGGGGCCATACGGTTGAAGACTTGGTGGAGCTACACTTAGGAAAATTTTCTAAGTCCTAAACATTTTGAGCCCTCGGTTATATACCCAAGCAGCGAAGGGTACCCACACACCGAAGGCTGGACAATGTCCAAACACTTAGAAAAATTTTCTAAGTCCTGAGCACCTTGCCTCCGGTTATCTCATGAAGGCTACACAGAACCAGAGGAAAGGAATTAGCCGGGGGCCAACAAATGAACAACACTTAGAAAAATTTCTAAGTCCTGAACGTTGGGCCCTCGACAAAATATTCAGATGACAAAATAGGCCTAGTGGCCGAGGGCTACAAAAGGCACTATACTTAGAGGAATATATTCTAAGTCCTAACATACATTCAGAAAAGATGAAGGCATACATTCAGAAAGGATGAGGGCATACATTCAAAGAAAGACAATCGAAGGGAACGAATTATATACAAAAAGCCCGAAGGCAAGTATTCATTCATCAAAGGAATGGAAGAGTTGAAGTACATATTACAAAATGGCCGAGGCCGAGAGCATACAAATATCCGTTACAACAAAATTGTCAAAATGTGCTAAGTACAAATCAGATATTGTCAGCCCCGGTGGCAGCCTCTTCCACGGGCTTTGAGATGACCTCCGTGCCGGCCTCTGCTTCATCTCCCTCGGCTTCCTTCAACAGCTCAGAATCCTCCAATTCTGGCCTTTCGACGCCCTCGGGAAGGGGGACTCGGATATCTGGCTGGAGGGGGGGGGGGGGAGGCCATACGCCGCTGGGTCGAAGGCCTTCGGCTCGATCTTCAGATGTCGCGCGAGCCTTCTGTAAATCAGAGCCTGGGTGAAGAATTCCCCCCAGCATAATAATCTTCGCCATTTCGGGCTAGCCACATCACCCCAGGGCCGTTCACCCACCCATCAGCGGACCCCTCCACGACCGAGGCTGCCCAATCTTTGTGGCCCTTTGCCTTCCACCCCTCGGCCATGAAGGCAGCAACAACACCGGCGGCGGCCTCTGTTTTGGCAGCCTCTGCGTCCTCGTAAGCTTTTCTTGCAGCCTCAGTAGCAGCCTTCTCCACCTCAGCTTTCTCCTTGACTGCCTTCTCAGCTGCAGCCCTCGCCTGCTGGAGGTCCCATTCCAGCTGGGCCATCTGCCTCATGGCCTCGGCGTTGTCATGAATGAGTTTTTTGAGAGACTCATTCTGTTGCGCCTTCTGGAGGCGCCACTCGTCAAACCTTCTGGCATATTCGCCGAGGGCTATGCAGGCCTGTTAACAACAACGCAAGAGGGTAAGCTATAATCACACAACAGATAGGAAAATAAACCACTATGCAAAAAGAAAAACGAAGGAGAAGAACTTACAGTAAGGGAGGACCGGAGGATTTTTGACTCGAGAGCTTCATCATCGAGCTTCCCGAGGGCCTTCCTGTCCAATGCAGGGGTCGCCCCGCCCAGAAACTCCCGGGGGTCTACGGTGCCGTGTGTGATGGCAGCCCCCTTCGGCAGGGAGAACCGTATATCCTCTCGGGGCAAGCTTACCTCACCCCCCCTGACCCGAGGGCAGGTGAGAAGCAGTCGTTGCCATTTGAGCACAGGGCTCGGAAGTGGAGTGCTCATCCACAACCACCACCGGGGGGCCTTCTTCCCAACGTCCCCCTTCTTTGGCCTCTTCCCCTCGGGGATTGGGGCTTTGCCGGCGGCCTTCCTCTTGGCGGCCTCCTCCGAAGGCTCACTGCCCTTCTTCGAAAACTCCCCGAGGGGCTTCTGTTTACTGGGCTCCTTCTGGCCCGGGACTTTAACCTTCTGCTTCTTGAGGGCGGCCAAGGCGTTGAGATCCATGTTGATACCTACAAAAGAATGAGGGCAGTTAAGACCGAAGGAGAAAAGGTGCAACAAAAGAATATATATATATATATATATATATATATATATATATATATATATATATTCACGCCTAACAAAAATATTCATAAGTCTAAAGGTTGGATGCCCTCGGCCCCTACCTCCTAAACCCCCGGAGGCTCTGTCGAACATCAGATACTTTTCATCTGTTTCCCCCAGGAAATGGTACCGGCGAAACCCGAGGGCGTACAGATCCCCCTCCTGGGTGCACTCCTTGATAGTGATGTTCTTGTTCCGACCCTCCGGGATCTTAGCTAGGACCCTGCCATCTTTCTCGAGGGCGGTGCTCCTCCTCTTCTCATGGCGCCTGAACCGGTCAAGCAACTCCCCCGGGAATGGGCTCTCGGCCAGCTTCACATAGCACCATCGGTCTTTCCATCCTTTGTTGGAGGAAGGTGCTTCAGTAAACAGCTTGAACAGTGCCACCTACTGCAAGTTAGCAAAGCCCTCGGCATTCGCATGCCCCCCGGCACAAGTTGAAGCTCTGGAAAAATAAGTCCAGGCTAGGCGTTACCCCCCGGGACTTGCAGAGGTGGAGGAAGCCCGTAATGTACGAATGACTATTCGGCGTGAGCTGGCAAGGGAGCAGTCCTACGTACCGAAGGTACTCACGCAGAAAGGGATGCAGGGGGAATCGGAGGCCCATAGACACCGACAAGATATGGACTGCTATACACCCCTCGGGAGCCTGGGAGAGGATATCACCAGCTCACGGTGGCACTACCATCGCCGAGGGCCCCACATGGAGCTGAGTAACGTAGAGGTCCGCCCCATCAGCCTTCGACCGTATGTCAAGGGCGGCGGTATTCAAATAGGAATACCCCTCGGGCATGTCAACAGGCTTCCCCTGGTCGGCAACACTGCCTTTCTTCTTTGATGCTGCGCCCTTCGTCTTCTTTTTCCCGGGGCCACCCGCGAAGGGACTGCGTTCAGTGGCCGAGAGGTGCTGGCCTCACCAGCGTCGCGAGGGGGGAGAACAGCGACAGTAACCCTCGCGCTCTCTCTCTGCGCCTCTTCTTCAGCCGCTTGCCAGGCGAGGGCCAGCTCCTCATTCTCGCACTCTTGTTCGAAGCCCTCGGCTTCCACCTCAGCGACAAGGGCTCTCTGCAACTCCATCGCCACAACAGCATCACGCCCCACCGAAGGCTGCTCACTGGAGGACTCCACATCGGAGGCGGTTTCATCCTCAACAAAAGGGTCCCTCGAGATGTCCTGGGAATCGCTCTGGGATGACATCTTGGTACAGCTACTAGGACAGTACTCTACACCGAGGGTTACCTACGGATTTCTAACTCCTAATCTAAGGACACGGGGCACAGCTAACTAAGAGAGGAGAAGAGCAGGTGGGAACTGACCTTGGAACGGGAGTTAGATCGAGGGCAAGTGTTTCTCTCTCTAGGAAAAATCCGGCAGAGCTTCGCTACAATGGTATCACACAGAAAAAAGTGGCCTGGCCTTGGGGTATTTATAGGCGCCCAAATCCGGGCTTGGGCCTGAAAACCGGGCCTCCGGTACGAAATCATCATTGCCAACCGACGAGTTGCCCAATCGGTGACACCCGCCCACGGGCGGCCAACGAGCACGCACCACGTGGAAGCCCCCCCAACGGCTATATTTTTGACGTTAGGTATTCCAACGGCTATATTTACAACGGCTATATTCTGGGGAGCTCCCGGCTATATTCAGCAGACCACTCCTTCATCAACCAAGAAACTAGCCCCCGGACTTTTTACTTCACTCCACTTCATCAAGAGGAGCTCCCGGTTTATGCCCCTCATACTACATAACAAATGCCTTCGGGCTCACTCCTTCAGAAGCCCACGGCCTCATAACGGGCACAGCCCTCGGGAATTCCACGTTTGACCCAAGAGTTACAAGACACGTAGTCGTCCACTCACCTCGAAATGACGCTAGCAAGCTTTTATCCTCTTCGTTTGAACTCCGGCGACTTTTGGAATTTTCCGGCGAAAACTCCGGTGGCTCCGGCGTCTTTTCCGGTCACTCCTAGATTCCTTGAGAAGTCTAGAATACCTTGGTAAAATCCTAACAAGGTTTCACAACCAAAAGTGGTATAAACATCAAACCCTCCGAGAAGGTGTTTTCCGGTGAACCGGTCTTACTCCGGTCATAACTTCGTTCATGGTTAAAACTATCCTTCCAACCCCTCATTCTACACCTCTAGGAGTGTAGAACAAGCTTATGGGCCATCATATGATTTATAAAATCATATGAGATTAAATGAAGGAAGAAAAAATACTAATGAGATCATTACCTTGATTTTCTAAGTTTTTCTCTTCTTTTCTCACTCTTTCTTCTTCCTTGGAGCTTCCTTGGTTTGAGCTTGCTTCCACAATGGAGGATGGTGAATTGTAGAGGCTTTCCTCTCTCTCTTTGGTGTGCTGGCCGAAATTATGGTGAGGGTGTGTGTGAGAGGATGATTCCTTTGTGAACACCTCAAAATAATTTGGAGGAGGGTCCCTCCACCTATCATTTGTGTCTCACCCATGTCTTCATCCACATCATGCATTCTCCCATGTATTTGCAGCCCCAAAGTCAGATATTATGTGCATAATTTCGTGGGGTGGCCCCCACTCATGTGGGAGGTCATCCCTTTGTGCCCCGAAATGTATATTCGGCCCCGAAAGTTGTATTTTCCGGACCGTTTTAATTAAATTTCATTTTATCGAGCCAAATAAAATATATATCATTCTTCCAATTAACATTGGCCTCTTGAAATAATATATATTACCAAACTTTGAATTTAGTGATCCTCGAAATTTATTTCGGACTGTTATCTGTTTAATCACCTATACCGGTAATGGGACCTTGTTTGAGTGAAAGACCAACTTTATGGTTCAACATTAATTTAAACCATCATATAAATATTATCTGGACCAAGATAAATATAATATGTGGTCCCGGAAATATCAGACGATCACCGCCCCTAGTGTAGGCCCAACGTGCAATTTACTGTTCAAGTAACAGTAAAAATGAGAACACGCCATCTCGTAAATTCATTAGTCATTTCTCGTGACTCAATATGTGTTTTGATATTTTGTGACACTTTAATAAAATGTTACGCTTCTTTTTAAGTGGTCCAAAATGTATGAACATATAAAAATCTTATATGTTTGTCCCCAAACCAAAATATCTTTAAGGTAGGGTCCTCCAAAAGTACCCCCCTTTAATGTACCAAATAAATCATATATTTATCAGCCCATTATTTTGGATTCTTAAAATATTTATGTTTCTCTTGTCATTAATTCATAGCCTCCCGAATTATTAATAGTCCGAGAATTAAGGGCTCACAATTATCGATTAGTGGCCTCGACCCACGTGGCCGTCTAGTTGTCATTCTATATATCACTGGGGTCCACGACTCATTCCTACTATCAAAATAGTATTATTTAGATCAACATTAATTTTTTTATACACTAAGAATACCACGGGTGGTCCCCGCTCCCGATGTGGGTCCCGCGCCTGATTAATAATCCTTTATTAATTTAAGACACTAATTTTATCTTTCTCATTTATCAAGGCTACTCTAGTCTTGATTTACCTTCGTTAACCATGTACTTGATGGAAAAAAAATTCTCTAGGTAAAATTCGGGTTCGGTGTTACACCTGATGGAGTATATGGCCCGGGAACCTCCGGTCCACAGACTCCTACTACTCCGATAAAGGTCCAATAGGCCCAGGAAGCACAACAGGCCCAAATCACAGCGCCCAGAGTATCAAGCGGCCCACAGTGCGCACTAGGGAAACAAAGTTACTGGAAAAAAAACGGCGAAAATTAGTAGCCCTCGGCACCTAGAGCCCTCGGCACTAAGGAGGTCCCCGGTACTCAGAGCCCTCGGCTAATCATCTACAGCCGAGGGCACCTTTCCGACATAATATCCGCTCAACATGCGCCTGGATCACCGTACCAAGTACGACGTCACATCCAACAGCCGCATTAAATGCGGCCACATGCGATTGCCAGAGCCAACCAGTTGAGGTGACCCCTCGTCCAATGGATGTTTGACACGTGTCCCTGTCTGACATTTATTGCTACTATAAATAGCACCCCATTTCCCTGTTGTAAACCACGCTGAAAAGCCTTAGCTTACATATTCAATACATTTTCTCTCTCTTACTTGCTCTGACTTCTCTCTAATTATTCCCCGTGATAACCCCTCGGATAAGCTGCCCCCCGGGTACACTATCCATCACTACCATATGATTTTTATAATTATATGAGAAGATTAAAGGAAAGAAATAGGATAAACGAAGTTATTACCTTGATATTCCATATTGTATCCTCTTTCTTCCTTCCTTATTGTTTCTCTTCTCCTCTTCTCTTTTTCCTTTCTTTGATTTCGTATAGAGTAGCACATGAAGAGGATCTCCCTTCTCTCTTGGATGGCCTGGACGAACCAATAAGGAGAAGGTGAATGAGGCCTCTTTTGTCTCTCTTGCAAATAATGTGGGAGGGAGGTCCACCTCATGTCTACTCATCATCCACCCCTCACTTCAGCTCATATGCACCTTTCCATCTGCCCAAATACAACCTCAACTGTCTCCTTGGCTGATGGGGTGCATAATTTCGTGGAGTGGCCACCAGTCATGTGAGATTTCATCCCTTTATGTTCCAAGATGTATTTTCGGTTCAAAAGTTGTATTTCACGGACTGTTTTAATTGTATTACTTTTTACCGTGCGAAATTAAATATATATCATTCTCTCAATTAAAGTGAGTCCCTAGAGTGAATATAAATTACCCAATCTTAATTTGATTTTCCCCGGTAAAATCAAATTATGGGACTGATGGATAGTGTACCCGGGGGGTAGCTTATCCGAGGGGTTATTACGGGGAATAACAAGAGAGAAGTCAGAGCAAGTAAGTATAGAGAGAGAAAGTATATTGGAGAGTGTTCAGCGTTTTCAGCGTGGTTACAAATGGGGAAATGGGGTGCTATTTATAGTAGCAATAAATGCCAGACAGGGACACATGTCAAGCGTCTATTGGCCGAGAGGTCATCTCAACTGGTTGGCGCTGGCAACCGCATGTGGCCGCATTTAATGCGGCTGTTGGATGGGACGTTGTGCAGGGTACGACGATCTGTACGCATGTGGCGCGGATATCATGTCGGGAAAGGTGCCCTCAACTGTAGAGGAGTGGCCGAGGGCTCCAGGTGCCAAGGGCTATTGATTTTCGCCGTTTTTCCCAGTAACTTTGTTTTGCTGTCCTGGCCCTCCTGTGAGAGTTAGAGCCTTCGGCCAGGGGGCCGAAGGCACCCCTGGTGCGCATTGTGGGCTGCTTGGTACTCTGGGCGCTGTGATTTGGGCCTGTTGAGCCTTCTGGGCCTGTTGGGCCTTGATTGGAGTAGTAGGAGTCTGTGGGCCGGGGGTTCCCGGGCCATATACTCCATCAGGGACCGATCTAGTAAAATCACCATGACTAGGCTTCGGGTCCTACTCGGCCGCTTTACCATCCTAACCTCTTTATCATTACCCACAACCATTCCTACCATCATATAGGTACTACCTAGACCAAATTTACCATTATATATGGTCCTGAAACGTGTCAGGTGCCCCACCCTCAATGTAGGCCCCACACGATATTTACTGTACCAGTAAAAGTTAAATCGTAAAAATTTAATTTCCAAACTTCAATATTATAGAAATTTCGAAATTATTAATTTGGAAAAGTTTACCTTCACGGTGATTTCGCGGATTGAAAGGTTCATGATTCCCGTTGTTTTGGACAATGGTTATTGGGACAAAGGTTTTTGGATTCCCAAATCTTTGGATGGTGGTTTGTGGGATAAAAGGTTTGAGTAATGCTGACATGGTGGTTGACGTGGAAAAACTTTTGGTTACCAATTGTAATCCCATCAGTCTGATCCCAGTTCTCACATAATCATGGAAATAACATATCAGAATGGTTGTGGTGGGGGTTGAGATATGAAATAGGGGAGTAAAACATATAACTCGATGGATCACAAGAGATTCTAGCCGGTTGAAAGATGATAGACCATAAAGATGGGTTCGGTGACGTTGACGGACTGTTCCGTCGTGACATCGACGTAATTGAGTTCCAGTCTTGTTGCGGCAATCATCGCATCACTCTTCCTATTAATCCTTGAGTTTGAAGCTATGGAGGCAACCAATTATTTCACTTGTGATCATAGAAGATGGTTTTCTCTCTAGATGCATGAGATCCTATGTGCCATTTCATGCATCATTTATTTTTTCACGACCTCCAAATGCTTATGAAATTCCGCTATCATGTTGTTGCTTGTGAATGTGCAACTAAAGATATACTTTGATAACTTATGAATGTGCAAGCACAAGAAATGAATAGGGAACATGCAAAAATAGAAGAATCAAATAACAAGTTGCATGTAGAGTAATATGATGATTATACACTTGGTGTGTTTCTTGTGAGGCTATTTGATCATATATCGGAAAATATTACTCCCACCGAAGATTTAGCCTCCATCCCGTCGAATTCGGGAATTAGTTAATTGCCCATTGCTCTTTTCCTTCTGATCGGACTCTTTCATCTCTATCCGCTTGACCAAAATATTGGACTGGGTCAGTTGATTTGTAATAAAAATATGGGCCAAGTTTTCATTTGATTTCTTAATTATTCTCTGTCCCAACAATGAACATCGGAAAAAAGATTCTGTTGATTAAACAACAATATGGAAACCAAACAGATTTTAAATTTCAACGAAAGAAGTACAACTGAATTCCCGTAATCAATTTCTAAGATATACAGTATACAAAACGAGTTTGAATTTCTCTTCGAACTAACACCATAATCTTCAACCCTGTAAAAAAAAAATCGAGGTGTTATTGCAATATGGCTAATAGTCGAATGATTATTTGCTCCTTTTTTCAAGTTCTTTTACTACTCCGTAGTAGATGAGATCCTGTGATTGATTGGTTATATATAGTTGTTTTAGAGACTCAAGCACCGAGCGATCCCTTCCAATGTCTTGAATGACAGAAAGACAGACGATAGGATTTTCTGGAAACCTCATTCCCGGCGAGATTGAGCGACGGCCAAAACTTCAACAAGGCAAATGGCTCTTGGCTCTTTCTCTCTCCCACTCTTTCCTTCAGCCACACCAATTTTCACTCTCAGATCCCCATTGTTCTCTCCCCCGCTGCGCTTCAGGCTGCCACTCACTACTGCTATCGGCCCTGACGCTAAGTTCTACCCAACCCCATCAGACGACGACCCGCCAGAAGCTCCCGAGGATTCCATGCACGGAGTCAGTAAGTTCCAGCAGATACACCGCCAAGCTGCCCGAGCTAGAAAGCAGCAGGAGGAGCGGGCTAAGAACGAGCAGTCCATTTTTATAAACGCCATCGCTGACGTTGAGGACTCGCCCGACGACCCTCTTGTGGACGACGGCCAAGACGATTTCTTCAGTGAAATTGACAAAGCCATTGCTTTGAAAAGAAAGGAGTTTGTAAAGCAAGGTCTCTTGAAGCCCAATCCAAAGAAGGTGACCCATCCCGATTTAGAAGTCATCCACGAGCTGGATCCAGAGGAGGTGATTGATATGGATGAAATCAGAGAGCTTACTGGGCTGACTGAGATATCAGCAGGCGATGCTGAGAGTCAAGAGCAGAGCACAGAAAACAAGGCAAACGGCGATTTTTCTGATTTATCATCATTTGACATTGATTTTGACAATATCAGTAAAACTAGGCCAAGAATCGTAGAACCCACTTTTAGCATGAATTTGGCTGAACTTTTAGATGAGAGCAAAATAGTGCCCATTTCAGTGTATGGGGATATAGATGTGGAAATCACTGGGGTCCAGCACGACTCTAGGTTGATTGAGAGTGGGGATTTGTATGTGTGTTGTATAGGGAGGACGGAGAAGGCTGATGATGATATGCACTTATACTTATCTGAGGCTAGCAAGAGAGGAGCTTCTGCTATAGTAGCTAGTAAAGAAGTTGTTATTATTGGGCGTAACAAAGCGTTGGTCATTGTAGATGACACTGATGCGGCTCTTCCCATCTTGTCGGCTATCTTTTATAGGCATCCGTCTAAGAATATGTCTGTGATTGGCATCACAGGAAGTAATGGCAAGACTACTACCTCATACTTGATTAAGTCATTGTATGAAGCTATGGGGTTAAGGACTGGGATGCTGAGCTCAGTGGCTTACTATATTCACGGAGATAATAAGATGGAGGATTTAGAGCCCCCAATTGCAACCTCTGATTCTCTTTTGGTTCAGAAGTTGATGGCTAAGATGTTGCATAACGGAACAGAGACTTTGGTGATGGATGCTTCTGGTAGTTGTGATGAAGTGGTCGATTTTGATATTGCTGTTTTTACAAATCTTACTCGGGACCATTTGGATGATTTCCACGACGAAGATGATGATGATGAGGAGGTGAAGCATAGGAGGAATGCTATTGCTAAATTGTTTACAAGGATGGTTGACCCTGAGAGACACCGCAAAGTGGTGAATATTGATGATCCAAATGTGGCATTTTTCATATCACAAGGAAATCTTAGCGTGCCGGTCGTGACCTTTGCAGTGGAGAACAAAAAGGCTGATGTCCACCCCTTGAAATTTGAGTTGTCCCTGTTTGAGACAACAGTATTGGTGAACACACCTAAGGGCATATTGGAGATTTCTTCCGGATTGCTCGGGCGGCAAAGTGTCTATAGCATACTTGCAGCTGTGGCGGTTGGTGTTGCCGTTGGGGCACCTTTAGAGGACATTGTTAAAGGTGTCGAAGAGGTCGATGTGGTTCCTGGTAGGTGTGAATTGATTGACGAGGAACAAACTTATGGAGTTATTGTGGATCATGCTCATACTCCTTGTTCGTTATCTACACTTCTTGATTACGTTAGAGAGCTAAGTCCACGGAGGATTATCACTGGTATGCGTTTTGTTGCTTAATGGTAGTGTATTTATCCCTTGCTTTCATTTCGGTGCTTTTTTGTACTTATAAGTACGGAGTAACTGAATTTATATTGACATTAGCCTCCACCAAGTGGAAGTCCAAAAACTATGGGTAAGTTCACATGTAATGCTTTATAACTTAATTGTATTAGCTATATGTGAGTATATTTTAAAGAGATGTTTATTTTGTGCACAATACAACAACAACAACATCCAAGCTTTAATCCCAAAAGAATTTGGGGTTGGCTAACATGAATCGATCCATGATATCGATGCCAAAAAGAGAAGACAAACAAGAAGAAGAAGAAAAAGTAAGATAATACGAATAGAATAAAGATAAATAAATATAAGATCACAATAACAAAAGAAATAAGAAAGATAAAAGATAAAAAAGATTAAAAAAAACCTTTATTTTGTGCACAATCAGCCATTAATTTATTTTTTATTTTTTTACAAAAAAACCATTTTTAACTTTTTTGTATGTGTAACTTAATGTAAAGAAAATAAAGTTTTTGACGTAAAAAATCTCATAAATATCTTATGTTTACAACATGGGCTTAAATATTTGAATACATATTTGTAGCTAAAATAATTGAATGATACATGTAATCTTCACTGAAAAATTATTCCTTTACTCTCTATTGGGGAAAAATTAATTTGTCTGTGTTATTATTCTTTTATTTTATCTTCTAGGACTACGGTTTGGATGTTGTTGTATTCTTCTTTTATTTTATCACCACCACCACAACAACAACATCCAAGCCTTTTATTTTATCACGTCTGAGCAAAACTGTTTCATCTTCTATAGACTGACAATAATCTTATTGGTTTATTGGCTAAAGTATTTGGCTGTGCTGGTGAGAGTGATAGGGGGAAGAGGCCCATGATGACAAAAATAGCTACTGATAAGAGTGATATAACGATTTTGACATCTGACAATCCAAAGAATGAAGATCCACGTAAGTTATCATCATTGGGAGGATGAATGAACATAACCTAGCTTACACCAAATTCTTCTAAATGTGCACAGTATACTGATAATGGCTCCCTTGTTTTTGGATATGTTATTCCCCGGGCAGTGGACATCTTGGATGACATGTTGGCTGGTGTAGGGTGGAGTATGCAGGATTATTTGAAATATGGAGAGAATGATTATTACCCACCACTCCCTAATGGCCACAGACTCTTCCTTCATGATATCAGACGTGTAGCTGTACGCTGTGCAGTTGCAATGGGTGAGGATGGTGACATGGTTGTAAGTTCCAATTGTTGTAGCCCGCTTCTTCACGAGTTCTCTTATTTATGTTGAAAACAACAACAAAAGACATCCCTTATGTTTATTACTATAGTAGATGGATAAAGGGTGTTAGTATCATGTTTTTTTGTAAAACAATAAAGGTTATTAGCTTTAATAAATAAAAACCTAGAAGCCTATTTCTTAAATGATGCAGGAGATGGCTTTTTAAGCAAGAGCTTACTCTATCCTGTTCCAAACTAAGCTCTAACAAACACACACTTAGTGTTGGACTAAATATAGTACTACATCCGTCCTGTTCAAAGATTTCCATTACAAAATGCCACGGTTATTTAGACAATAATGAAATATGTCAATTCAATTATTTTTTGAGAAATAGTTTTGATGAGTATATAATATAATAAGGTTATTGATGATAATTGTGATGTTATAGATGTATTATTTTTAATATTTGATGGTTAAATTGTCATGTAAGAGTGTTAATTGTTTCTTAAAATAGAAATGAGAACCTTTAATGGGACGTCCAAAAAAGAAAAGTGAGAACTTTTGAATGGGACGGAGGGAGTAGCTGACAGGTTAGCATAAATTAACTTATAGTACAAATCTGATGTAAAAGTTGAAAACAGTTAAGAATAAGAAAGAGATTTACCATGGAGTTATATAAACGATAATCTCATAGAACTTATTTGAAAAGCTATTCAAAAGAAGCGGATAAAAATGTGAAATAAGCTTTTTAAGGTTATAATGAAATAAGCTCCTCCAACCAAACAAATCCTTATTAAAGTTTGGGGGCATATGCCTCTCTCGGTTCATCACTGCAATTGCAGGTAGTTGCTGGTAAAGGCCATGAGACGTACCAAGTAGAAGGTGATAAGAAAGAGTTCTTTGACGACCGGGAAGAATGTAGAGAAGCCCTGCAGTATGTTGATGAGCTTCATCAATCTGGGATTGACACTAGTGAATTCCCATGGCGGTATCTTTCTATCATCCATTCCCCCATATTATATCACCCCATTTTTACTGTGCTGAGGCATTAACAGTGCTGGGGGGGGGGGGGGGGGGGCTACGGAAGTAATTTTCTTGTGCTTGGTTTTATTTTGGAAAATGCAAGGGAAATGTTATATGAATAGTTTTGGCTTATATTTACATTTCTCAGTCTTAACAGGCATAAAAATGAGAATCAACAAATATCTAAAATAAAGTCGTTGAGTTCTAGCATGCATATTATTTCCTCACAATTTCTTTCCTTAATTTTCTCTAATATTTGATAGAGTCCAAAGAGACTCCACAACGAATGTCTTTGCAAAACAAAATTAAAGTAAAAAAGAAATTTGCTTTGATCATGCAACAGGCTGCCAGAGAGCCATTGATATGAGGCAGGAAAGTTGCTGGATCTCGACGACGAGAGAGAGCCTGGTAATGAAACTGGAGCCATGAGCAATCGTGTAATGGACGGTTTGAAAATCAAGGAGGAAAAGGCAATTTCCCTGAGGAAGTGTGGTTTATGATGTGCTTGAAAATTTAATAACTCATTGTGCATGGTTTCAAGAAAGTTTCAGGTGATTTTTCTATAGCTTATTATTTGCAGCAAATGTTTCATTAAAAGTCTATGTTTGTCGTTGCAGATTTAACAATGTTGCTGTACAACTGCCCAAATCAAAGAAATGGAAGTACTAAGAGAATAAATATGTGATTGGTGATACACGGCGCGTCCTTTGTAAACGCCAACAAGATCTCCATTGTTGACGAATAAAGAAGTTAATATCGCTTTCACACAAATGATATTGTTAAGGGGTCCTAAACTTATGTTGACATGAAATGTATGTTCTCTTCCCCAAGTACCGAGGAGATACGGGATAGAAAACACCTGAGAAACACGTAAATATTCAAGAATATAAAGATATACGTAGTACTTCGTATTTTTATACTCCCTCCGTCCCGAAAAGGTTGGCCAAAGTTGACTTTCACGTGGATTAATAAAGTAAAAACTGTGTGGTTGAAATTTGTGCAGAGAACAGAGAATTAATTTTAGCCACATATTTCTTACTTTAAATGGAAATGACAAATCTAGTTTTTCACCCATGCATTGCACGGGAATTGATTTATATGCACATGTATAAAGTAATTTGATATATGCGTTATATTTTATATTCTACTTTAAGAGTGTAGGTAATATCGGAAGACAGAACATAAAGTTGAATATAAAATATAACGTATATATCAAATTACTTTATCAAATATAACGTATTAAATTACTTTATAACGCATTTCTCCAATTTCATACTTGACTCCATGTACCAAGGTACTATATTGTTTTATTAATTTCATTCCCCGGATATGTTCAAATGTTAAGGTCATATGAAAACCTTTATCATATTTCAAACGAAAAGTAATAAGTCTATAACAGTTTAGGGATGGGGGTATAGAATTATAAATACATCATTTTTCTATTATATATATAGTTTCAGAAAATTGATTTATTATGCTATTCTTTGTATGTTTTTTTGTTATTATTGTGTATTATATATATGTTACTTGGATATTACTGTCCACATGTAGGATGTTTTTAATCCTCCCCCAAGTGTGGAGTTCTCGACTTTCCTATTTGCTGCAATCTACATCCTACTGAGGTAATGTTATGTTCATTTTAAATCATACGGAGTATACTTTTTCCCCACATACAAATATACAATACAAGACATAATGATTCATTTTATCTAAGAATTTATGTTATGATTGCTTTAAGTTCACGCTGGTATGAACTTTTGTTTGGCCTGATCTCGAAATATCTATATTTAGGGGTGCAAAAAACTGACTCAACCATATAATCGACCTAACCCGAATACCCGATCAATGACATTGGTCCGGGTTATATTTTTAAACTGACCGGTCAGTGTTAAATACCCGACTCGAGCACAAAAAGTTTGACTTTTATTCGGGTTCTAAAGTTTTAAGTAGGACCCAGAATGATAAAACATATTTAATTATTAACAAACTAAAATGTATATGTATAGGGTGCGTTTTTTTAAATGTCAGTGTGTGCATTTATTTTTCCACATATATCTGTGCATATAAATAGCATCAATTTTCTTGAATGTGTAAATACCATCAATATGTTCATATTTAGAAATTAGTACTCCGTATTTATTACTATAAAATATAAACATAAAATGCAACACATTTCTAATAATAAATTGCATTATCAAACATCACAACGCCCACTGAGAAGAAATCTCATAAATCCACTAAAAAGTTGAATAATAGACACAATTTTTCATCATGGAATCCCATGGGAAAATCGGATATCCAAAGCTTTCGTTAATTAGGGAAATGAGTTTCAAAATTCTTTTTAATTACGCAGTCCTAAAATGGGAATTTAAGGTTTCTGGTTTTCAGTGTATTATCTTGATCGTCCTATTTTAGATTGAATATTTTAGATTGAATGAATATGATAAATCAAGATACACAATATGCATATGAGAATTGTTTTGTTAAATTGTTAACAATAAATTTTTTGGCATCGATATCATAGATCGATTCATGTTAGCCGACCCCAAATTCTTTTGGGATTAAGTCTTGGATGTTGTTGTTGTTAACAATAAACTACAGCACCGTTCTTCTCTCTCTAGGGTTACCTTAGGGTAACACCTACTCTTTGTCCGCCGCCAGCTGCCCTGGCTGTCGTCGGTGGCTGTGTTGGAGTGCGAGTTTTTCTATCGAGCTCTTCGGGGCTTCGCTTTGGTTGGAGTTTTATTTCGTTCGAGGAGTTCAGTCGCGGAAGGAGGAGCGTTGGAGATTTCGGCGTGATCTGTCAAAGTCGGCCTCCACGAAAGCTTCATTTTGTTGCAGGGGTTTCGTGCTGTGAATGGAGTGTTTTGTATACAAATACAAAAACATGGCGATAGGGACGGAGGAAGAAGATCTGGATTTCAGTACGAAAGACGTTGCGGTAGAGAAAAGCAGTCCGGGGTTTCAGGTGGTAGGAGTGCTACTGATTTTTGAGGCTGATGAACGGCGGGTGTGTCCCCCTCCCAAGCCGCCGCCATGGCCGCAGGTTCGAGGGACGATTCGAGTTTTCTGGATGAATCAGAAGTCTTTGTTTTCTTTTTGTTTTGTTTGCGGTTTCAGAGATTGTTATTTCTGCTTTGTTGTTTGCTTTTGCCTTTGTGTTCCTGTTTGTAAGACGTTGATTTTGGATGTGGACGATGAGAGGAATATGGTGACCGTTTATGGCTTTAAGTTTCCCACTTTTGGATCAACGAATTATATTGCTTCTTTGGAGGTGATCAATTCCGAGTCTGGTTCACGGGACAACGGTTGTCATATTTCTTTTTGTCATTTGACCCATACTCTGAATTATCTGTTATCAATATAAGTCGAATTCTTCCAAAAAAAAGGTTTCGGGTTTTCAATTTATATAAACTCACTAGTCCTGCCTCACTATTCTTTACATTCGTTTTTAAGAACATTTAATTTTGAAAATCTAATTTAAATAAATAAATACAGGATTGTTTCAAATAAAACTGTTTTCACATTTTCTTAATACTTTATAGCCATTTGAAACACTTGATTTATCAAATACACCCTCCATCCTTTAAAATTTAGGAAAAATTCACACTAATAATCCAACATATCGACACTCTTCTATTGTTAATCCCTTCTACCGGTTATTCTAAATTAATACCAATCAAGGGGTAAACCTTCCCCAAACACTCTCACGCATAGGCAACCAGCTAACCCGGTTAATTTTAAAAATCTGTAACTAACAAAAGGTCATAGCTCTCAAACCTGATCTCCCTGAACGCATTCTCCACCCCATAAACTTCTCTCGCTAGAGGAAGGTCTGACCGCCATATCCAGCCGTCAAAGGATTAAAAGCTTTGGTACCCGGTCTTATACACCGCTGCTCCAATTGCAAGAAAATAGTAAGCTTCTTCGTTGTGGTTACCCGTGTATAGTTGGGGTTATTGTTCGTGTATAACATTATTGGGGGAAGGGGGATTTAGGGTTGATGTGGTTTAGTTCATTTCATTTGGTTTTGTGGTGTTAATTATGTTTGTTTGTTAAGATTTAGGACCTCATATCTTTGTGTTTGTTAACATATTAGGTAATACATGACACTCATGTCAGTTTGCGCATATGGCATGGGGGTATGTTTAAGAAGAAGAACATGGGAACACTAGAATACGCGGGAGGTGAATCTAGGACCTTTGATATAGATGCAGATGAACTGTGCTGGTTTTGGTTAGAAGAGTTGGCTAAAAATGTGGGGATTACTCCACAATAGATGCCATTTACTACATGATAGAGTATATAGACTCGGACCCCCGGGTCTCACGACTATTGGGCCCGGACAGCGGCCCACACACATCTTACGAATATCATTTGTATTATTGTACTGCTTATATGTCATTTGTATACTAGATTAGTCTTTTATGTAGTTGGGCTACCGGGCCCATATTAGCGGCCCGGCCCGTTATTCCTCTATTTATACTCCTTTTGGAGCTTGTAAACCCTAGATCCCAATTCATTATCATTCTATTATTCATCTTCTCCACAATACTTGAGCTCAAATCTCTACATTTTATACATACTTGGATCCCTACAATCCATCAATGGTGCTTTCATTGAGAGATTAGAGCAAAATCAAGTGAGAAATCCTCCCAAAACATAAAAGAATTCATCCAAAATACAAAAAATCAACCAAAAACTGTTCTGAAAAATAAAAAAGGAATGAAGAAACTGGAATTTGGGGTCTGGGAGATTTCCCAGAGCTAAGCAGGAGACGTCCTCGCCGTTCCCGTTGCCGCCACCCGCCATGGCCGGAGAAGCTCCCCACCAGTTCCCAGGCCTAAGCCCAAGCTGTCGCGCGTCACCTGCTGCAGCTCACTGCACATAGCACCCATTGGCGTCGCAACTGGTCGTTTTCGCGGCTCAGTGGTCGGACCTGAACCAGACTGGAGAATGGACCTTCATATCTGCCATTAATGTCCCCTAAGAGCTCCAGTAATAAACAGACCGGAATTCCCCTGTTGACCGGCTGTTTTACGCCCAGGACCGCACCAACCCAGCCTTCGACGGCCAGCGGCGAAGTACGGGAGCCCAATATGGGATTCGCCATCTCGCTCGCGACGACGCCCAACTCCTGGCCGCTCCACCACCGCTCCGGCCACCATCGCAGCTCGAGGGGAGCCTAAGCCACGATTTCAAACTTTCTAAGTCATTTTCTTCTCTTTTTGGAGCTCGACCTCGGAGGTCCACCATTAATGGCCACCTCAAAGCTCTGGAGAATGACGATGACCGAATCTAAGTTCTCTCCGCCACAGTGCCGCCCTCCTTCCTCATGGGGATCTTCCGGATGACCGCTGCCTGAAGTCGCAACTCTTCCTCCGCTGGGAAAGCTTCGCCTGGCTCACCCCGAGGGAGCTTCGCCGCTGGCTACCTGAGAGGGCCTCTCCATTACTGCTCCCACTGCTACAGTAGCGGTGAGCTACTGTGTAAGAGCCGCAGGTTTTTAATCCCACCTAGGTCAAGTTGGTCAAGTTAATTGGTGGGCTTGTCCAGTAAGGAATCAAAGATGCAATCCCTACATAGGCCCATTATCTCAAACGGCCCAAATAAGAGGTAAGTGCCCAATACTCCTATTTATACACTTAAAATATTTATTAAGTGATAGTAGTATAATTATTACTATTATTAATTATATTATTTCCACCACCATTATGGCGGGTTAAAAACCCCCGAGGTGGTGAAGACCATTATGAGGGATTAAAATTTCTCGAGGTCGCTAATGAAAATTTATTATTGGCGTTATTATTTTTATCATCGCCATTAGAGCGGGTCAAAAATCCCCAAAGTGGTGGACCCGAGCTCTAGCCTACCGAACATCTTTATATGATGATTTTAATTATATTTGGGTCCCTCGACCTACCCTAGCCACCTTTATTTGGTGACTCGGGCATCTAAAAATGAGAGCCGCTACCGGCCGCACATGGCATTATGCCCGAGAGCGGTAAACGGTACACCTCGTTCTCCGAGACGCTAATCGCGTCGCCCAAAAGCCGTTGCCATGAACAACGCACCTATTGTATTCCGCTTATTTTTTGGAAATGTAAATAGAAGATACCACGTGACGTATCAGCAGCCTTCGAGCGAAAGGCTCAGGTCTGCTCCACTTTGTATTTTGTATCAGCGAAGGGCTCAGGCCTAGCTGAGAGAGCACGTCGTCCTGGCCCCGTAAGCCTAGAGTGAAACGCTCAGGTATGGCCGACGATGTCCCCAGGACGAGGGGCCCGCAAACGGCCCGCGTCTTGAAATGGGAAGTTCACCGCGTCGTCCACGCGCCAGATCGCAGGACGACAGGCCTGAAATCATGGCCGAGGTGGCAGAATCCCCCCACTCAGGGTTGGGCAACGGCAGCCGTTGGAAACCAACCAAAAGTCTAGCCCGCGTCATAAATAGGCGACGGGACCCCCCTGAGATCACGGACGTTATAAACGAAGTCCGAACCGGCCGAAGGACGAGCACACCCTTCGACCGAAGCCTGAAAGAAGGATACTCCCCGAAATAGGGAACGGAAACGGAAATAAAAAAAAAGAAAAGGAAAAAGAAAAAATAAAAGAGGGAAGGCGAGGACCGCGCGCACTTGCCGGCCTCGAGCAATGAAAAAATGAAATCCCCACAACAATACTAAGTACATATCAGGCAAATACTAGACGAGCGCCCTGCGCCGTCCTTCATTCTTAGACGAGCGCCCAGCGCCGTCCCTCATTTTCAGACGAGCGCCCAGCGCCGTCCCTCATCTTAGATGAGCGCCATGCGCCGTCCTTCATTCTTAGACGAGCGCCCAGCGCCGTCCCTCATCTTAGACGAGCGCCCAACGCCGTCCTCCATTTGTAGACGAGCGCCCAGCGCCGTCCCTCATTTGTAGACGAGCGCCCATGTGACACTCCAAAAATTTAAATAAAAATAAAAATAGAATGTAATACTTAAGAATTTGGTTATTTTAGTTTATGTTTCGGGACGAAGCATCTTTTAAGGAGGGTAGAATGTGACACTCCAAAAATTTAAATAAAAATAAAAATAATTTTTATTAGTCAGATAAAATATTACGAAAATAACATTTTTATAAATAATTGAGTCAGACAAAAATTCAACAGATGTGACATTTTAATCAGATAAAAATACTTCAGTAATAAGAACAACGTTTTAGTAAACAAGTAAACCAGACAGAAAATTTACATTTTACGACATTTTTAGTCTGATAAAAATGGTCCGATAATAGAAGTAACGTTTTAGTATAAAAATTAACTTTTATATCTATTTTAAGTTAAGTATAATAATACACAAGTACAATAATATAATAAATAAAATAAAATAGAAACCTACTTCTAAGATAACTACGTATGTATAATATATATATATATACTCCTAAGATATGTAAACTACGTAGGTATTATTAATACTAAGTTATAACTCCTAACTAACTACGTACTAATACTAATTATATAACAAATATACTCCTAATACTCTTAGAAGTGCAAACGAAATTAACTCCAACTCCAACTCAAACTCTAACACAGCCCGGAACCCTCATCTTTCCCTATAAATAATAGGCCAGAACCTGCGTTTTCTTCATCCCAAAAAACTACGAAATATACATACATATATACGTATATTATATATATATTTTTCGACCCACCGTTTTAGCCAGAAACAAGCCCTGAAAACACCCCTCAAACCTTCCCCTTCGTGAGACGAATCCAACGGAAAAAGAATCGTCGAAAACGGTCGTGAAACGAGGGAGAAAAGTCTCGCCGGAGTTTCGCCGGAGAAAAACTTTTTGACGGAAAACGGAGAAGAGGGAGGAGCTGCCGCTGCCGCCAACCCACCACCGTCATTCGCCGTCCCAAACGGAGCCAATAGCCGGCCGTTTCGCTCGTCCGACGAGGTAACACCTCCCCCCCCTTAAAATCCCGTTTTTCCGGCGACTTGGTGGAGAAGACGACCCAGCCAAGGCTGGGGTCTGTCTTGGGCCTGATTTGTTTGGGCCAGAATAATTTAATTTGGGCCAGTTCGGCCCAGTTGCAATAAAAATTAAAAATAAAATAGTAAATGAAATAAATAAAATCTGGAAAAATATAAATTAAATACCTAGTATAAATATACATATTCGGACCAACCAGAATTGGAAAATAATATTTTTAGCTATTTTTAATTGATTTAATAGTAATTGGGCCAATTTATACACTTTTAGTAAATAATTAACTAAATGACGAAAATAATTATGAAATAAATATTGGAGTAAACTAGGATAAATATATGACTAACTAGGACCTTATGGACCATTTATAATTGATAAATATTAAGGTTTAGTATATTTAATTGTAATTAAACCGGTTAATAGATATATGAAATTAAAGGAATAATTATGGAAAATAATTATAAAATAGATATCTGGACAACCTAGGTCGAATATAGACCCAAAATATATTTATGGACGGTTACTAATTTATAAAGTCGATTTTTAGTCTATTTATTTAAATTAGGCCATATAAAACTAGTTAAGTAATTAAATAAGGAAATATTAGTATTAATGGTGAAATAAATAAATCACTGAGGTTGAAAAATAATATTCTGGACTAAAAATAATGTTTGAATAAAATAAAGAAAATAAATATATTCGGTTATGTAAATAAAGTAATTAGATAATAATTAGAGTAAATTAATGGTGATTATTGAATAAAAATTGGATGTTGTAGTTAATTATATTCGGATATTTTATTCAAATATTGTAATTAATGGCTGAATTCATAAGGTAATTTGATTAATAAAAAGTGATTAATAAACCAAAGTTTATGTGAATAATAAAATAAAAGGAGAAAATCGGGTAAGGTAATTACAAATAGAATAAGTCACTAATTTATCATATTTAATTAAAAAGGTGATTATCTAGAGACCGGATTAGAGGAGGATAACTAGGAGCAACAGGACTTAAGGTAAGTTTCACGTCAACCGAAATTAGTTCTTTTTCTTCATGATTTCTTTTAAATATTTTGTGTGCATATTTGAGAATTGAATTTATTATGTGTGCTGAATTTGAGTGAATATTATTATATGAAAGGGTTGTATTTGAGATATTAGTTGATATATTGTTTTGTTGATATGAGTTATTGTATACGATTTTGGAATATTTTGTAATTTGTTATCTTTGTGGGAGTTTGATGAAAAGGAAATTTTTGAAGTATAAACTTCGATTGATTTTGGGAAAAATAAATATTTTCATAAAAGGTGAGCATCACGGGAGAAATCCGTAGTGTTGGTTTTCCACGTCCCTTAAAATGTGGAGGATGGTTAGGTCTACTACTACTCAATTTTTGGTGGTTTTGGTTTGAGGTGAATTGACGGTCGGTAGAAAACATCCCGGCTTTTGAGTAGTAGTGGTAGTAGTAGTTCCTAATCATTCAAGTTTTGAGGTGGGGTAGTTGGTAGAAAACATCCCGGCTACCCGGATCGACTTACTAACCCGGAGGGCTTGGAATCCCTTTTAGGGGGTGT